CGAATGACCACACCCGTTGAATGACTTAAGCGGACTCTCCCGCGCACGGCACCTACAGTGAACTTTATACTACAGACACAAGAGGGGGTTTCTCGATATACCCTCTATTCTACCTCGATCCAACCGGGTATTTTATAGACGCTCCGACATATATTATAATAACTCTTTTTATACAGTTTAGTTTAATTAAATATTTATACTTGGTAATAGAGACACCTTGTATGTTTTCTGGAACATTGTAGTAACAGAGTATACATTGCCCCAAGAATGAATTACTGACTCTGTGGAGTCGAGAGACTGGTATCACTAGCCTGTGTTTGTTCCTAATGTTTACAGAGTGTACATCACTTTTATTTACTAAAACTATTTATGTTTTTGTGAATATTCATAAAATTTTCGTAAATATACTGAGAGGCCAAAATTAATATATTTATTTCTTTAAATGTATCTCTAAGAGACTCTCGGTTTAAGGTTGTAAATAGCTCTAATGGCTCTCTTCTGTAAGAGAAAAATAGTTTCTGAATCACCCGCATTTCCCCATAGCAAAATCCCATAAGACATTGGACACGTCCCTAGCTGCCCCAACAAAAGTCGACCTTACAGGGGCCCATACAGCTGTAGATTCGACGAACAGCTAAGGGTGGGGCTCAAAATGCCTATGGAAACTTATGACACAATAGAGATGAGTCTAGGTAAATAAATAGTACGTACCTGGATCCGAAGCTAAGACCGCACCAAGGCTCGGTCAGGCCGTAGTTAGGTATGGGTGCATGTAAGTGGTGTTTAGTGGTGTGTATAATAGTTGACCTGACTGGACCGTTGAAGTCTGACCGCAGATCCACAGGCGCTGCCTCTACTCCAAGGTGAGTTCTCTCAAAAGGGGGCGGTCACCAATGGACAACTTCTTTATTGATTTCACTATCTCAGTTTATCTACTTTATTGTACACTATTTCAATCCATCAACTTGTTACACAACTAAATCCCCGTTAATCGTAATCAAAAAGGTAACACACGGCACGACTAATAAACGGTGGATCAAAGTTCACTTCCGTTTCACGTAGCAACAAGATTCTAACCACTAACAAAAACGCGATCTCTTCTCGAGTCACAAAGTTCAGCGTTTTAACCGACGATGGAAAATGTCTCCGAACTATATCAAATGCCACACGAGAAAATTAATATTTTCAAATGACCTTATATACGCAATTAAATTAGAATAACCAAATTCGCGGCGGTCTACACGAAAAACAAATATTCAATTGTAAATTAGGCGCGCACAATACTCAAATTTAGACGTTGATTGCAATCAATGTTAACTAAATAATTAACCGATCCGCGCCGTCAATCTATTTTTCTAAACTCAACAAAACTCCTCGTCGGTGCATAAAACTTGCAAACAAAACCCGACACTTCTAGAGGTTATACGACACGAGCACGCCGTTCTAGTGACCGCACTGCATTGAATCACTTCCGACCCGCTTGCTAGCAACCAAACTGGATCTTGCGCGAACGTCAACCTGTAGGAAATCACCGCGCTGAGCGCCCCCTGACGTCGATTCTTTTTTTTTTTTTTTTTGCGGATGGAAAATCATCAAATGACGCCTTTCGCTCTAGGTGGAGCGGAAGGGAGTGTCAGACTTTTACTGACTAAAAACCATCCGTGTTCCTTCAGTGCCCTTACGTTCCGGAGCCGCGGTATCTCTTTCGAACAGCCCGCAGCCCCGGCAGGCGTCGGCCCTTGCGGGCCCCTTCACGCTGCTGACAGCTCTTTGAGGCGCGCGTGGAACAAAACGCGCCGTCTACACGGCCTGTCGTCGTTAGACGGACGGACGGCGAGCTACCCATTGCTCGCCGTCCACAGGCCCGAGCCTACGGTGGCCGGGAAGGAAAGCTGCTGCTCTCTCCTTCTCCCGCTCCGCCACCTCCTTCGCTAGCATCACTGCTTCGAAGAAGGTGGTGACGGCATCTCATTCCGTCTCGCTCCGGACCATGGCTTCGACCAGGGCTGGACGCAAGAGGTCGCCGCCGCCTATCGCCGCTACGAGGACACGGCGATGCTCCGCCCAGGCAGGGCACACCTCCACGGTGTGTTCCACCGTGTCCTCCGGTCGATCCTCGCAGTGGGAGCACCCGGGCGTTTCCTCCCGCCCGATTCGGTGTAGGAAACTCCCGAACACACCGTGTCCGGTGAGGACCTGCGTAAGGCGGAAGGTTAGGACGCCGTGGCGTCTCTCAAGCCACTCCTCAAAGAGGGGTCTTATCGCCGCTATAGTGGCGTGCCCAGCACGGGTTTGCGACAGACGCTCTCTCCATGTCGCTATGAGATCATGCCGGAAGTCTGTCCGCTGCACGACAACTTGCCGCGGCAGCGGGGTTTCCCCCCGGCATAGTGCCATTCGTGCAGCCGCGCGAGGACTATCGCCTCCAGATCCCATGACGGCAATCCGGCAAGGAGGCACGCTGCCTCGCGGGAGATCGTGCGGTAGCCGCAAACCATTCTTACGGCAACCACCTTTTGGGGCGCATTCAGGTGGTGGACGGCAAGCCGCGCCAAACCACGCGCCCACACCGGGGCCCCGTAAAGGGGCATGGACCGCACAATCCCCGCGTAGAGCCTCCGGCAGGAGGCGTTTGGCCCCCCCAGGTTCGGCAGGAGCCGCCTGAAGGCAGCCCCGGTCCGTTCCAGTTTGGGAGCCAAACGTCGGAAGTGCTCAACGAAGTTCCATCGGCCGTCGAGGACGAGTCCTAGGTACTTCAACGTCGACTCGACGCCGATGGATACCCCTCCTACCATCGCTGAGGATCCCGGTGGAGGCCTGTTCCGAGGACCATGGAAGTGCATGGCCTCGGACTTGTGCAGAGCCACCTCAAGACCCAGCTGCCGGATCCTCTCAACGACTATCGCAACCCCACGTGTCATATTTTCCGCCGCCGCCTCGTACGACCCCCCCCTGTGCCAGTACCAGCGTGTCGTCAGCGTAGCAAACTACGCTGACGCCGGTAGGGAGGTCGGCGCGCAGCACCCAGTCGTAACCGATGTTCCACAGGGGCGGCCCCAGAACCGAACCTTGTGGGACACCGCACGACATCTCTCGCCGGTTCCACTCACCGTTGCGACCGGGGTAGATGACGGCCCTATCCGTCAGATAGTCCCCGACTATACGACGGAGATAGGTCGGCACCCGCTGATACCGGAGTGCCTCCCTAATGCAGCTCCAGGGCATGGAGTTGAAGGCGTTGGCGATGTCGAGAGACACCGCCTAAACAACCCCCCCCCCCCCCCTGGCCACTGCATCCCCCGTCGTGAGGGCTCTCACGCGCATGATGGCGTCCACCGTAGAGCGCCTCTTGCGGAAACCAAACTGGTGTTCCGCAAGATCCGGCCCCGTCCCCGCAAGGTGCTCGGCGAGGCGGTTTGCAATGACTCTTTCAAAGAGTTTGCCCACCTCGTCGAGCAGCACCACGGGCCGGTATGCGGACGGAGAGTCCGCAGGGCGCCCCGGCTTCCGAATGAGGACCAGCTTCCCCGTCTTCCAACGAAGCGGGAATTGGCCTCTCTCCAAGCATGCGCTTAGGAGCCCCTCCAGTCGGGGCCCGAGAGCCTCCGAGGCCAGGACTCAGGCTTTGCCAGGCAAGCCATCGGGTCCTGGGGCGGTATTCCTGGCCTTGAGCCTACGTACCGCCACTCTCAGGTCTACCCCGGTCCCTTCCGGGATGCCGTCGTCGTCGTCCTGGTGGTCCGCTTCCGGCACCGCAGGTGGCGGAGCCATAGGCGGGGGCGGTTGTTCCCCTCGCGCAGGAAACAGAGCGCTCACCACGTCCTCCACGAGCTGAGGCCGGAGACTCTGCGTCAGCGGGGGGGCCCAGGTGCGGAGTTTATCCCGCACCATCTTGTAAGGGCGCCCCCACGGATCTCTGTCGAGAGTCTCCAGCATCTCCTCACGGGCCCGATCTCGGGCCCGCATGACAGCCTCCCGGAGGGCGGTCTTCGCCGCTCTGTATCCCTCGTACAGGTCCGCCTCAATGGCTGCCGCATTCGGTGGACGAATGCGGAGCCTGCGATGCCTGGCGTACAGGTGCCGCGCGGCGACACACGCCTTGCGCAGAGACGTCAGCTCACGCGACCACCAATACACCTGGCGCCGGGCGCTTCCTGGCCGGACGCGGGGCATTGCCACGTCACATATCTCGGACATGGCCTCCTGGAACCACCCTGCCTCATCATTGACGTCGGCAGGCCTATCCAGTGATGACACCCAGGCCTGCACGATCGAGGCTTCCAGGAGGAGCTCCCGGTCCAGCTGCTTTAGCGCCCAACGCGGACCACTCGGGGCCTGTTGGACTGGCGCGCTCGAGGGCTGGGTGGAGACGTCAAACCGGATGTACATGTGGTCGGAGTAGGTCTCCACCCCCTCCATGACTCGCCAGTCAATGGCACGCGGCGACAGAGCGGGGCTAGCGAACGAAATGTCCACCACCGACTCGCCCCGCATCCGCACACACGTGGGGACAGAACCCCGATTTAGGACGACCAGGCCTTTCTCCAGAGCCCAGTCTTCCACCATCCTACCCCGCACATCTGTACGACGAGAACCCCAAGCCAAGTTCTTGGCATTGAAGTCCCCGAGGACAAGCACGGGGAGGGGATAGCTTCCGACGACGACTGCTCTCAGCTCTGCAAGAGAGTTGTGGAGCTCGGCGAGACATCGGTTCGGGGAGAAGTACACCCCCACAACGACGAACTCCCCGAACCGTGCTGCTACGCACCCCTGACCCCTCCTGACACCTTCAAGGGTCGGGGTACCGGCGGCGGCCGAAGAGATGATGGCCACTGAGCCGTTAAGGTCCGCCACCCAGTCCTTCCTAGGCCAGACAATATACGGCTCAGCGACCACAGCGATGTTAATCGACCACTGCGCCATGCTCTGGAGCAACAGATCCTGGGCGCAGGTGCAGTGGTTGATATTCGCCTGAAGGAAGCTTAATGGGGCCGTTATAGGCATTCCATTTCAGCTTCCTCCACGGGACGCCCCTCTGTAGGCGTTGGTGTCGCGGCGGCGGCGGCGGCGACAGTGACAGCGGCGGCGGCGGCAGTTGCAGCTGCGGCGGTGGCCATAGAGGCGGTGGCGGCGGAGGAGGGCCCTCCCCTACCCGCGGCCTTGGCCTTGGCGGGTGACACGCAGGCCCTGCTTCCGGCCCAGTGATCGGCTGGCTTGCCGGTCGCCGCACATGCATCACAGTGCGGCGTGGCGCAGCAGGTCGCCGATATGTGTCCGGGCTGACAGCAGCGGAAGCAGAGGCCACTGCGGTCAACCTCCGAGGCGTTTTTCACTGATACGTGATGCCCCACCAGACAGCGGTAGCACTTCAGAGGTCTGGGCTCCAGCAGCTTAACCTGTGCTGAGACCCAGCCCACCAGAAGCCTTCGGCCCTCCACTATGGTTTTGGCCGCCGTAACAGGGCAGCACACCTTGGCGGCATGCATACCCTGTTGATCCGGGCGTATGGCGCCTGACCTGACCTGGTCAGTAGTGCACCCCCCGGACCTGGCGACGGCGGCCACCAACTCCTCCTCCGATACCGAGTCGTCCAGACCCATGATGCGCAGGTCTGCGCATCTGACGGGCCTGGACACTCGGGCCTCGTCCGCGTTCAGGGACGCTCTGAGCTTCGCAGCCAGAGCGTCCGCAGTCGCGCCACTAGATTCCCCGGGGATCTCCAGCATACGGGCCCCCGTCTGGGTGACTTTGAGCCGGAGGCCCCCAGTGATCCCGAGCTCCCCGAGATCCACCGCCTCTTTCGCCTTCGCGAGCAGATCGCGGTAGGTAACGCCCTTCTTTTCCGCGTCCGGCTGTAGTGTAATCACTACAGCTGCGGTCTTTGGGGCGCGGAGCCTAGCCGCGATCTTGCGCGCCCTGAACTGGCGCTGCCGCTCCTGCTCTTTGGTCTTTTTGGCTGCCTTCTTCCCCTTCTGTTTGTCCCCGACCACCTGCCAACCGGCTTCTGCCGCGGGAGGTGTAGGGAGCTGGGGGGCGGTGGCGGCGACGGCAGCTGGCTTGCCGCTGGCGCTGGCCCATTCGCCGCAGGCACTGGGGCTGGCGCAGCCATCACCTGTGCTGCCGCCTTGCCCTTTTTCGCCTTCGCCTTGCCTCTCTTTCCCGTCGCCGGCTTAGCCGGAGCCGGTTCAGCCGGTATCGGTTTTGCCGGAGCCGGCTTTTCAGGGGGGGGAGGGGCAACTGCAGCCCCACCCGAGGGCTGGCTGGACGGCCCCGGCCTGGATGCGGCAGCCGTGACCGTCGCGTAAGAAGCCGTTGCCGGCCTCGCCGCCGTCTTGTTTGCCCCTAGGGGGGGGGCGCAGGACGATGCCCTCCAGCACGGAGAACCGGTGCTGGAAGGCAGCCAGCTCCTGCCGGACCATGTTCAGAACCTGGTTCTCCACCGGCACGGGCTGGCTTGGGCGCTGCGTCTGGGGCGCCGCGCGAGAGGCAGGCTCATGTAGACTGGCCAGGTCTGCGCGGAGCTTCTCATTCTCCTTCTGGAGAGTCTCCATGGCGGACGTCAGGCTGGCGTCTTGAAATTAGCGTTTGGCTCGAACAGACATTATGCTATAGAAATAACTGAAATATACTAATCGAGCTGTCTCGAAACTAGTGAGATCTTAATAATCTTTTATACAGCATAAGCTGCAGAGTTCAGTCTGCTTGCTAGTTTGGATATATGGGGGCCCCACTGAAGCTTTGCGTCGAGATTGATGTCAAGTAAAACAGAGGATTCAACAGGACTCAGTTCTTCCCCATTTAAAAACACATTGGCATTCAGATTTTTTTACATTCGTTGTTGTAAATTAAATACATTTAGTTTGATTGCAGATTATTAACCTTAAACCAATGCACTAATTTTAAGATGTAGTAGTAGGAAGTATTATGATGCTGTGTTATAATCATGTGTGGGATTTTCATGATATAGTATTATTTGCTGATGAGTAAATATTACTTTATCATGATTATCATCTTCAAGAGAAGGTAAGTCACTAGAAATAGGAATAGACCAAGAATCGAGCCCCGAGGGAAACCCATCTTTACGGAAGACACGGAAGAACTTTTACCATGGATAATGACTTTCTGCATTCTATTATTTAAACATGAAAATTTAGTTTAATCGCTGTATTCTTGACACCATAGTACTGTAGTTTACTGATTAATGTCTCATGATGTACACAGTCCAATGCCTTGGACAGGTCACAAAACACACCCAAAATATTCACTGAATTCTACCATGCACAAAAAATATGTTTTATAAGTTCGAATCCAGCGTCGGTAGTAAAGTGACAACTTACAAAACCAAATTGATTTTTATGAAGCAATTTATTTATATTAAAAACGCTTAACATCTAATCTATAATAATTTTTTCAAAAATTTTACTTAATGTATGTACATAAATTGGTTTCAAATTGGCGGGGTCTAATGTACGAGTACTACCAGATTTAAGTAAAGGTATGACCTTACTATGTTTCATTGGATCAGGAAACAGGGTTCAGGATTCGACACTTGTATTAAATATTGTGGCTAGATAAGATGCTATAATATCTATTATAAATGCAATACTTTAATGAAATCCCCCATAAGTCTGCCGTTTTCTTAACATCAATAGTTTTAAAATATTTAACGATATCTTTTAGTAATACTCTATGGCATTTAAAAGTATTTGAACAAGGCTATACGTTTTGTGTAATAAGCAATGATTCGGGACAGTAGTAGAAGAATTTAATGATTTTTTGTCAAAAAACTAACATCAGTAAAATGCTTCTCAAAATTCATAGCAACTTCTTGATTTTAAATTATTGTTAATATTCAAGTGAAAATCCCAGTTTCGTGGTTTTACCTTGCCCGTTTCACTATTAAATATACTCCATGTCAATTTAATTTTATCGGATATAATTTTAATTTTGTTACTTAAATATATAGCTATGGAGCATACTTTTTTAAAAGTTCTAGAATACGTTTTTACATACTCTCTAAATATACGAGTAACACTATGATTATATGATCTTTCATTATAAAGCTCCTATAACTTTCGTCTACGTTTATAAATTCCTACTGTCGCCCATTTATTAAATAATTTGCGAAAGTTTTAGAAGTAAATATTCTATTAAATTCACAATTTATAATTTTAAATAATGAACTATTCAAATAATCAGCACTGTTTTTAAATGAAAGTGATGGAAGTCCTTTTACTATGTTACTTCGAAACCTCTCAAAATGATGTTTATTTATTGGAACAAACACAACGTTCACATTTTTGTTCTTGTATATGTAAGATAATGAGACCAACTGCCCACAGTGATATGAAATTAAATTTTGAATGACTGATTTATACAAGGGCTTAACATCTATAAGAATGTTATCTATACAGGTCGCACTAGGCTCAGCAATACGTGTCGGTTCTGAGAATAAATTAACAAGATTATACGATTTACATAAACGCTCCTCATTATATTTACATGTCTTTGCTAGATTATCTATATGCAGTATGTGTTTTTTTTTTATTTTCAGTCCGATTTATATTTATTGGGACACAGTTGGAAGGGTGTTAGAAAGTAGTAAAATTTCTGATTTAAGTTACTCTTCGTCAGTCTCATAACATTTTTAATGTTATCCACCTCAATTGAATACAATTTAAGTTCATATACCTATGTTTAGTTTTATTAACATCATCATTTCATACATTAACATAATTCTTGGTATTAATCTTATTTTATTAATTTTTGTATTTTCTTCACGTATTTGTTAACTTTTATATATTTTTTCAATTTGGTTTAACTGCAATTAATCAAAACTTTTTTCCCGAAGTGGAAGTATCGTTACCTGTCAAATCTATTGTTGCAGATTGCTGTAATATTTTAGAATTATTACATTGCACTAGCTCAGAGAACAGGCTTTGAGTCTGGGAGGCTTTTAGGTTATCTATGTGTGCTTTAAATTGTGCTATTTGCTCATTAGCCTCATTCAACCGTAACTTCAATGCAGAAATAAACCTGAGAGCTTCCTCATATTCCTTGCTGCATTGGTCAAACTCATTAACCGTTCCCTGTAGCTGATCTCTTTCTTTTATAACACTTGTTAATCTGTGTGTAACTTAACCATATCACATTTCAATTGTGTATATTTGGAAATTCTGCCAACTATTTCCTTTTAGTAGTTTACTTATGAAGGGATTATATGAAAATGTGATACTATATATGCATATATATATATATATATATATATATATATATTCATATCGTATATATATATATATATATATATATATATATATATATATATATATATATATATATATATAGAGATCTCTTCACGGTAAATGTTGATCAGACGCGACTTCACGCGAGCACTTTGTTGATCCGAAAATGTATGTTGATCCGACGCCTTTTCTTGATCCAATATGCATCTCTGGTAACTAATGTTGCTCCGACAGGATCAACATCTACACTCACGGGACTACTTACTAGCGTTCCCCGAAGTTGATCTGATATACAAATCCACCTTACGATAGTTACGCAAAATGTTGATCCGATTTAAATGAGCCAATCAGAGCACATCAAACGATCGGATTGGCTGAAAAAATCCGCGACGTTGCCGTTTCGTTTCTTTGGCGGTGGCAGCGACGATATTGTCTAAGGTGGACTAGAAAAACAAAAACACTGCTTCACTATATCAAAATAATAATCACAAACAAAACTAAAATATCTATCAAAGAAACATAGAGTAATCAATAACATTGCAACCTGACTTACTTATTAGTCGCTAGTCACTAGAATTAAGGATGCATTTGCAAAATTGATAGTTATAGAATCGAACTATTATATAATTTATTATAATAATTTTATATAATAATTTTACAAGTCCAAGAACATCTAGTTCGACATTTCCTTGGACCTGCAGCATCAACCACAGAAAGTAATCTTCCTCAAAGATCTTCAATCTACTGTAGCTTTCCAAGATCTTCAATTGCTTCTTCAAGCAATTCTGGACATTCTCTGGAAGAAATACCACGAAAGGCCGACAATAAACTCGTACGAAATAGATGCACTGCTATGTCAAATTGAAAAATGGAGGATTATTGGCTAGAAACGCTAAGCAAGTACACACTGAGTGCAAAAGGTGTGAAAAGGCATTCAGTTTAGAATGTTATAATGAGAAACAT